TCCCTCTCCCTCACACCAAGCAGCTCTCAGAATTGTGCTAATACTGTGCCCCAGTAATAATACCTCTCGTTGTAACTACACTTACATCTATCTATAGCTCATCACACTGGAGCTTGGAAAGTGTACACCAGGATGCAGGAATATGAGTGATTCTCTTGAGGCCCCCAGGTGAGGGAGTCAGCATCGTGTGGGGATTACGAGTGCTGAGTTATAGCCTGAGATCTGCTATGAACTGCCTATGAGCGCACAGCCATGCAGCCTCTCATGAGCTCACCTGTGCAGTGCTGGCAGCTCTACAACATCCATCTCCCGTTCCATCATGAGGCCTCCGGAGGGGTTATGGGCAGGGTTCCCTAAGACCATGCATCTGAGTGTGGAGCCACTAACGCCACTTGGCCAGCAGACTGCCTGGATAGAATCCCAGCTTGCCACTGGCTTGCTGTGGGACCATTGGTGATTTCTTTAGTTTACCGGTCCTCAATCTTCCCCTCTGCAGAATGGGCCTATGCATTAAACGATTGAAGAAAGGATTCAAGAAATATGGTGGCACCTGTAGCTCAAAAGGCTAGGGTGCCATATGCCAGAGGTGGCAGGTTCAAACCCAGCCCCAGTCAAAAAAACTAAAAAAAAAAAAAAAGCCTGGGACAAAGTAAGGAACACTTAATGTTATTATTACTATTAATAGCATGCAATGTGCACATCCACGCCCCGACATTAGTTTTTCCTGTTGTCTAAGCCCCATTCTTGCAGCCTCACCCACAATGATGGATTGAGTTTCAGGCAGGCCTCTGACTCTCTACAGAAGTTTGTAACAAGGGCAAGATACATGCTTGGTGCTGTGACTTGAAGGTTTAAACCCAGAGCCAGTGTGACAGCTGACTCCTGCTCACTGAGAAGAGACTCTCCTGACTCAGTTTATTGCAAGTTGATTGTATTGTGGGCAGGATGCTGTCCCGACATTGGGGTGATGTCTGAAGGGAGATTCCAGTGTGTGTTTTCACAAATACACACTTGTGATCTGGAACAAGGACAGAGGAGAGATGCAGGCAGCAGGGAGAAGGGGGGCTTCTAGCCAGCATTACCCACTGCTCTTCATTTCAGAGGTGGAGCACAGTTCCTCGCTCCTGCCTTTTAATCACTCCGATGGCACATTGCTATATAACCTGCAGGCAAACCACACTAATTCAAACCAGGTGGGCTTTGAAAATATTTTCTCACTTCCCTTGTGATTTGTTCTTTAACCTGTGGAGTATTTGGAAGTGTTGTTGATGTCCAAATATCAAGGGTTTTCCCAATATCTTCCTTTTTATTGATTTCTAGTTTTAATTCCATCATGGTCAGAGAACATGCTTGATTTCAATTATTTTAAATCTGCTAGTGTTTATGGCCCAAATTATAGCGGGTGGTATTTTGTGTGCATTTGAAATGAATGGGTGTCTGCTGTAGGTGGGCAGAACATCCTACAAAAGTCAACTGGGCTAAGTTGGTTGATGGTGTTGTTCAGGTCTTCTCTCTCTTCCCTATTTTTCTGTCTGCTTTGTCTACTCTTTTGTGGAAATCTCCCCTTATAATTATAGATTTTTCTATTCTTTCATTTCTATCAGTTTTTGTTTTACGTACTTTGAAGCTCTGTTGTTGAATAATGCACATTAAGATTGTTATGCCTTCTTGACAAATCTAGTCCTGTATCATGATGCAACTACACTGCTTTACTCTGGTAATATTTCTTGTTTTAAAGTCTACTTTAAAACAGAATTCTTGCCATTGGTATTAGCATGTTTTATTTTTCCCCATCCTTTCTTTTTTTTTAATTTGAGATAGAGTCTCACTCTGTTGCCCAGGCTAGGGTACCATGGCTTCAGCCTATCTCACAGCAACCTCAAACTCCTGGGTAAAGCCATCCTCCGGCCTCAGCCTCCCATGTACCTGGGACTACAGGTGTCACTACGATGCTTGGCTAGTTTTTTCAATTTTCTTTTTAGTGGTCTTGAACTCCTGACATCAAGTACTCCCCCTGCCTCAGCCTCCTAGAGTACAAGGATTATAGGAATGAGCCACCACACTTGGCTTCTTTTTAATTTTGATCTATTCATCTTTATATTTAAAGTCTGTTTCACATAGGCAGCTATAGTCGGGTCTAGCTTTTTTATAGTCAACCTGACAACCTCTTTCTTTTAGTTGGGATGATTTAGACTAGTTACTTTTAATGTAGTTATTGATATGTTGGATTTTTAAAATATCAATGCATTCTCTTTCTTATTTATTTATGAAACAGGGTCTCACTCTGCACCCATATTGGAGGGCAGTGGTGTGATCATTGCTCACTGGAACTTTGAACTTCTGGGTTCAAGTGATCCTCTTGCCTCAGCTTCCCGAGTAGCTGGGACTACTGAGGTAGCTGGGACACAATGCCTGGCTAATTTTTAAAATTGTTTTGTAGAGATGGGATTTTCTCTGTTGACCAGGCTAGACTCAAACTCCTGGCCTCAAGTGATACTTGTACTGCACCCTCCCAAAGTGCTGGGTTTACAGTATAAGCCGCCACGCCTGCTCAGCTGGCATATTGGATTTAAAGTCACCATCTTGTCAGTTGTTTTTCATTTGTCACATTTTTCTTTGTTCTTTTTTCTCTTTTCTTGTCTTCTTTTGAATTGAGTATTTTTTATTATTCCATTTTCTCGCCACTTAAACTATCTTAATTCAAAGTGTTCTCATGCACATTCAACCTAAATTAATGATTCTTTGAATGTATTGCCCACTACATTGTCCATTTATTTCTTCATTTGTAAAATTAGGATGACCATTACTACTTTTCAGAGTACCATGAGAATCAAATAATAAAGTCACTTAAAGCACCTAGCATAGGTCCATAACATAATAAACATTTACTTATTTGCTTTCTTTTTGTTTATTTTCTATACAGCTGTGTTTCTAAGAGGGATGTGGGCACTACCAAGGAGGCACATACCTGGACTACTTCTAGCCACTCCTGTGTCCTCCTTCTCAGCGGACATTGCTCATCAATCACAGTGCAGTTTTTTTTTTTTTTTTAGAGACAGAGTCTCACTTTGTCACCCTCAGTAGAGTGCTGTGGTGTCACAGCTCACAGCAATCTCAAACTCCTGGGCTCAAGTGATCTTCTTACCTCAGCCTCCCGTGTAGCTGGGACTACAGGTGTCCACCACAACAGCCTGGCTATTTTTTTTTTTTTTTGCAGTTTTTGGCCAGGGCTGGGTTTGAACTTGCCACCTCCAGTATATGGGTCCGGTGCCCTACTCCTTTGAACCACAGGCGCCGCCCTGGCCTGGCTATTTTTTAGAGATGGGATCTCACTCTTGCTCAGGCTGGTATTGAACTCCTGAGTTCAAGCAATCCACCCGCCTTGGCCTCCCAGAATACTAGGATTACAGGTGTGAGCCGCCTGGCCTTTCACAGTTCAGTTTCTGAACAAACTTGGATATAACCTTTCTTTCTTTCCTTCTTTACTTTTTTAAAAATGCATAATCTTTCTCGACATTGTATCAATCAGTTAGAGATTGGCCGTAATAAAAAAGGAAACCTATCCACTGTGAGAGGCTAACACATCACCTTATTTAAAGTCTTTTAGTACATTTCTTATTTTAATTGGGTTAAATCCCTCTTTCCTCTAACAACATTTTACTTTGTTCATTTATTTATCAAACGCTTCTCTAAGGGCATCACAAAAGGAAAACTTCAGTTTGTTCATCCCAACAATCCCAAAGCCTGACTCAATGAGGTTTTTATTTGGTGTCTGTGAAACCAGACACTAGGGCAGGGCCGTGTTCTCATTTTAGGACCTGACACAGCATGTGATGAGGGTGTGGTGTCTCCTGACAGGTACCAACTATTCCTCTCAGGGCTTCGAGTATCCTTTACTTATGGATGGACAAAGGATGATCTGTTGAAAAAGGCCATGACCTTGTATCACAGGGAAAGCACTGAACACTCTTCATTCAGCTGCCTCTTCCCAGCCCGGCTCTGAAAAGAATGATATCCTGTTAGTAAGGCTGGGACTCTTGGCTGTTTTCAGGGACTTGCTGGGCTCAGGAACGTGTAAGCAGCTCTGTCCCCTTGGGATCCTGAGCCTGCTGGGCAGCCCCCAGGACAGGCTGATTTGTCCTGAGATCCCCCCTTTTTTTTTTTAGACAGAGCCTCAAGCTATCCTTCTGGGTAGAGTGCCATGGCTTCACTGCTCACAGCAACCTCCAACTCCTGGGCTCGAGCGAGTCTCCTGCCTCAGCCTCCCAAGTAGCTGGGACTACAGGCGCCCGCCACAACGCCCGGCCATTTTTTGGTTGCAGCCATCATTGTTGTTTGGCGGGCTGGGCTGGGGATTCGAACCCGCCACCTTAGGTGTATGTGGCTGGCGCCTTAGCCACTTGAGCCACAGGCGCCGAGCCCTGAGATCCCCCTTGTATGATTTAGGGGAGCAGCCTTGAGAGAACAAACATGCTGCCAGAAGGGAAATTAAATGAGCTCCTCTGAGGACCATTCAGCCAGGTCTGCAGGGACCGCTGGTGTCCTCAGTCCGTAGCTCTCTCCCGTCTGCCACCCTCCTTGTTTTCTGCTTTCTCCCTGTCATTAGTACCAACAATAGGGTGGGGAACTGCTTGAATTTTCCCACGTGACTTGCAGAGTGTTCTATACTTTGACTAGTTCAGAACATAGAATGAACTGGAATGACTGGCTGCTTCTAACATGCTTCTGTGATTTGGAGTAATATGTGTATTACCAGAACCCTTAGAAACAGCATTCAAGGAAAAAGCTTCCTTCTACTCCATTTATCACAGGTAGGACATCTCCCTCTGGAATTTACTATTTTATTCTTTAGAACAAGGTCTTGGTCCAAATGTGTAAGGATGTTGTTGTAAATACACACATGCATGCAGGTGCACCCCTCACGCACACACATACACATGCAGGGGAGGATTCTTACTCTGAAATCTTCTGCAAGGAGGAGGTACAGCTTAAACCCACAGCCTCCGAGTCCTTGTTGCCACACATTCTGCTTCACATTCATGCTCATCTGGGAAATGCTCCACGCCAGCACTACTTAGGCAAAATAATAACAGTGATAATAACAAAGTCTCCCAAATATGAATAGAGCTTCTACTTTGTGTGGCTTGCTCTCCCACACATTCCCTCACTTCGTCCTCACTGCAGTCCCTGGCTAGGCATCATTAAGCTGTTCCCAAAACAGGAGTGCCAGTGAACAGCCTTCCCAGGGCAATGAAGACACCAGTGGCAGAGCTGGGATTTAAACCCAGGCCTAGGAAATAAATCTTTTCTTTTTTTTTTTTTTTGAAACAGAGTCTCACTATGTCACCCTGGGTAGGTATCACAGCTCACAGCAACCTCCAACTCTTCGGCTTAAGCAATTCTCTTGCTTCAGCCTTCCAAGTAGCTGGGACTACAGGTGCCCGTCACAACGCCCGGCTATTTTTTTGTTGCAGTTGTCATTGTTGTTTAGCTGGCCCAGGCTGGGTTCGAACCTGCCACCCTCGGTGTATGTGGCTGGTGCCATAATTACTGTGCTATGGATGCCAAGCCGGAAAGGACTCTTAAACCTTGCCCCTGTTCAACTATTCACTATGATACGTAATGTGGAACATTACTTCCCTGCCACCACAATTATGAAATGTGAATTACTTTTTCCTCTGCTGGAAGCTAAAGTCCATATTACTTACATGAGCAACTTGCCAGCACAAAGGGCCAGAGGACACTGAAAAAGCTTAAAAACATAGTCCACCCTCAGACTGCCTACTGACCGACACCAAGGTGGAGTAAGGCTCTAGCAGCTCTAGCAGGGTGGGGAAGGACAGCCTGCCATGATGGGCGCCCACAAGTGGCCCCCCTCTGCCCTTGATGGGCCTCCTCTTCCCGGCACCATGCTCTGCACACCAGCCACACCGAGGGCCCATCCCTGAACTCAGTAAAAACTCTTACTCCCTGGACCTTTCGATTTCATCTCAAGAAATGCTCTCCTCTCCCCTTACCTTTCTGCAAGGCTCATTTAAATATCAGAGCTTCCATGAGCCTTTAGTGATTTCCCCAGGCAAAAACCATCAATCAACCTCTCTGCTTCCATAGCCATTTGTATCTGAAATACGTGTACAGTGTCTATCACATGACATGAACTATTTTTGTTTCTTCTTTTTCTTGTTCATCCGTGAGGTCTTTAAAGATGTTTTCCTAAGGGCCCTCCCTCAGTTCCTCAATAATGTTTAGTTGAAGTAACCGGAATTTGTTTGAATTAAACTGCCTCATTAACACAAAAGTCAAGCATGAATATATTCCATGGTACAATGAAGAATATTTGTTAATTCTTCTATAATATCAAAAGGTCAAGAAGCAAATATCCTCAGGAACTTCATCCAGGTTTGGAATTCATGTGACTAAATACGTGTACTGTATATGAGGCAGCCACAGTTGGGTGTGAGATAAAATTTTGCAGTAAAAAAAGTGATAGGATGAGATACTTTTTGAATTATGACTCAAATATTGTGTCAGTGAAATGTTAACATAGACGCCATGTGTTGTTGACAGAGTTGGCTCAAATTAGAACCACAAATTTAACCGTAAGTCTTTTAAATGTCTAGAAATATATATTAAATGTCTAGGAAAAGATCCTCTCCAAGGGTCTGTTCTAGAAGCTTTATCATCTTTAGTGATTGGCCAATAATCACACATTCCTTGGGGCTTTACACATATCATCTCACTTCATCCTCCCAAACTTACGAAGCAGACACTATTGACCTCTCCACTTCTCAGATGGGGAAGCTGAGGCAGCGTGAGGCTAAGTAAGCTACCCAAGGCCTCATAAGAGCTAAGTGGCAGAGCTGGAATCTGAACCCAGGCAGTCTGACTCCAGAGCCCACACTGCGTCTACCACCATGGACTGCAATAGCTCACCCAGGACATCAATCTCTCTCAAGCAAACATGTCCCTAGATCTCTCGCAATCAGAGTTAGCACCTATGTAGCTCTGAATTTCTAATTGTGTCCTTTGCGGAAGACAGAAAAAGACATTCAGTCCTTTCTTTATTCAAAGACAGTGTTTAAGTTTTTTCTGAGCTTTCTTTAAATAATTTCAATTAGCTTAAAATTTCTCCAGGCGACTTCCCTTCCCTTATCTCTTAAGTCGCCCACATTTTATTTTGGTGGGGTGTAGTTTTCTCAAATTATCAAGGCCAAAACTGGAGAGAAGTGTTCTCAATTTAAGGCCTGACCATCATACATGGGGAAAGGATTCGGGAGTCTGGCCTATCTTCCTCTCCTTAACATTCCAGCATCATGTTCTTTTGTTTTCCTGGCAGTTCTCTATCACTGATTAATTTTGTACTTGTGACACATTGCTAAATTTGAAGACTCCACAACTGTGTTTTGTTTTGTTTTTTTTTTTTGAGACAGAGTCTCACTCTGTAGCCCAGGCTACAGTGACATAGGGTCCTAGCTCACAGCAATCTCAAACTTCTGGTCTTAAGAGATCCTCCTACCTCAGCTTCCAGGTGTCCACAACCATGCTCAGATAATTTTTCTATTTTTAGTAGAGACAGGGTCTTGCTCTTGCTCAGGCTGGTTTCAAATTCAAGGGATTCTCCTGCCTCCGCCTCTCAGAGTGTTAGGATTACAGGCATGCACCACCAGATAATTTTTTTAAATGACAGCTCTTATAAGCCATTTCTCATCTTGTACTTGTGATGTATTTTTTTAAGTTTGTCCCAGCCAATCTGAAAGGATTATATTAATTTCCAATGTCTGAGATGTAAGACTCCACCTAATTTGGTATTATTCACCAAACACAAGATGTTTATTCTCAACTCTATCATGTGGGTCACTGAAGAAAGTATTTATATAAACCTCTTTCCCATAAATATACTTTACTGGCTTCCAGATAGCCTGGGAGCAGTGAGCTGAGTTCACATTTTAACATTTTCCAAGAACTGCAGTTGATACTGAGTTTATGCCATCTTATAAAGAAATAATCAAGACTCATTTCGAAATCTGAAGAAATACTGATGTTTGACCTCAGTTCCTGGAGAACAACCAAAATTGAATTTATTCTAAACACAGGAGGGACAGCAGTGTTCTTTGGAAGCAAAAGCTTGGCCTGGATATCTGCAACCTGCTGAGAGGGCTCTGTCCCTCATCCTGTTCCTAGGCTGGCATTCCTTTCAGTTACTCCCTAGCACAGAAAAATCACAATCTGGTAGAAGGCCAGGGCAACTATAAACTGAAGTACAGGAAGTCTTTAAACACTGGTTTTTGTATTATTTATTTTATATCTTCTCTCATGGAAAAGACAGGACTGGCTCGGCGCCTATAGCTCAACCGGC